CCCCCCCCCCCAGGTCGACAATAGTTTTATTGCTTGCAAGAGCTTACTAGCCTTAGCCGCTTCGTCGGCGAATTCCTGGCTGGCTCATTGTAATTATTCTTACTCTGACTTTGCATATTCAGGAAAACCTTTTTAATTAAACAGATTTTCCCCAATCGCAGGCTCGGGGAACGAGATTGCAATGCATTGACTTACCACAAGTTCCTGATGACACTTGTCCAGGATATATTTTATTCGTCGTCTCTGAAAATGTACAGTGTAAATTAGCCGTCTCTAAAAGATACCGACGTTTTGTTATTACATGTCCTCGTACACAATTTACTGAAATATGGCGTAAATTTTTCCTGTACCGAAACCAGGGCGCTATAAAACACTGGCGTGGAAACGCGCTTATTATCGCGTGATCCATGTGTGATGCGCCAGAGAACTGGCACTAGCGTGCGTTTTGAGAGAAAAAAAGAAAAGCAAAATCATGGCGGAAAAAAGATTGTTATGCGACTTTGAAAGCCAGGGCGAGAATAGACGTAAGACCTTTCTTAATGTGAGATTTCTTTTATTAATTTTTAAAATGAGCATTATTTTATGAAACTTTTCATGAAAGAAGCATCCAACGTATTTGAGAAAATAAGTTAGTTTTTCAATTATTTTAATGTGAGGGGAATCAAATTTTATTACTTTACGCACGACAACAGAGATTAAAATCAATGCTGTCTGAACACTAGCTATAGGTAGGCCTAGATAAATTTGATAGCTTAAAAAAGTGTGGAATTTCTCTGGCTTTGCTTTAGTACACAATATATACCAAGACCGGCTTTTACCGGCTTTTTTTGCTATCAGCTTAAATTTTGGCATTAACATAATTTTCTCGACAGCGCGTGAGAGCTGAAACATAAAAAGCCTACCGAATCGCGGTCAAACTAAAAGTCAATGTCAACATTGCAACACAATTTTTCAGTAAATTAAATTCTTAAAAAACTTTAGGTGAACATAATTGTTTTAAGAATATTTCAACATAGACCTTATTCATAAATCGTGATCGAGGCCTCGTATCCTAGCTAGGAAACGGGGAAAAACGCGGGAAAATTGACAAAATGTTTTTTTGCTGTCTGCTATGGCAGCTTTTTTTCGTCAATATTACGGCTTTTTTCGAAAATAATATCTATAAAACTGAGTTTGAAAGTTGAAAAAAATACTTTTGCGAAAATATAACATGATATTTAAAGCAAAAGATGCTGGAGTCAATCGAAAAAGGAAACCTTTGACTTTGTATTATTGTCGTAGTTTGTATGGCCAAAACAAACAACCAACAAGCCTACAAAACGTCTATACAACGCCAAAATCGTAAGAAATATGAAACTATTGTTGAAGAAATAAGATTACAACTCACTCAGGTAATGTAGCCTTCATTTTTTAAACTTGTAAGCTGCTTGCAGAATGTTATCGAGCCACAGCCATAGTTCGTATTTTCCCGTATGAATCAATGACATTTGACGTTCTCTTGTGATTTTTGACCTGTTGTTTTCTTTCATATTAATGTCAAATTCGAAAAATTATACTTTCATTCCATAGTTGTCTTGATTTTTCACGGAATAACCTTTATATTGACGTTAAATTCTCAGTAAAATACTGTTTTTCGCTTCTGGATAAACGTTAACACTGTCGCTACGTTGTCATTTTTTCCACACAAATACGGGAGAAAAACCGGTCGCTTTTATAATATACTCGTTTACCGCTTTCGTTGTGGGCACAAAGTCTTAAAATGCACACAAAAATCGTTATAAACCGCAAAAAGCAACAAGAAACAAGCCGTTGAAGTCGATATATACAGTATGTTGTCCAATTTTCGGACAGTAAAGTGTTTTCACACTATATTTTGCGATTTAAGATGGTTAGCAGGTTCAAATTTGTACAGATGACGACCACTTCCCATGGCTACATTACTCTAAGAGAGACATCGCTAAAATTCTTTATTTTTTCTGCAATATCGAAAACAAGTACTTCATTTTCATCACCACATTTCGGACAGCTGGTCCGCTATTCGGACACTTATAATAATAGCCGTTTTTCTCTCGAAGGTAAGCTGTATTTTGATAAATACTGGAATTTAAGGCTTGATTATGTTATAGAAATAAATGTCATGATTCTTTGAACCATATTCTAGTATGAAATTTCAGTCAGGTTACTCGCAACTAAAGCTCACTTTAAGAGATATACAATTCCCGGTGGATAGATTCACATAATAATATCAGAACTCGCATTGAACTAAAGTCAACAAAATTATCGAAATCGAAAGTTTATCAAAACATAAACAACTTGTACACTCTTTAAACATTTCAAATATATAATTCTGTTAAATATACTCGTTATTTTAGTCATAAGATTGTCAACTCTAAGCCATCGTCCGAGTATTGATAAGCTCCTCAAAAATTGTTTCTTAATTTAAAAGTCCGAAACTTCTTAAATTTTATGACAGTAGCAAAAATTATTGTTGTGGTAAAATTTTCGGTTTATATAACCATCCCTTCAACTAAAAAATAATCATTCGGCAGTATATTTTCACAAAACATCTCCTGAAGTGTACTTGTCTTATCGCGCTGTCGTGAACTACGCCATTTTTAAGAAAATATTTTCGACTGACCTTTACTCGAAGTGTTCACGTTTGCACAAAACAACAGCAAAAACGTCGAAAATATAGAGCAAAATTCAGGACATATCGGGCAATCATCTGAACGTATTGATTTTTATTTTTTTGCTATTCTTCATAAAACAATTTGGCGATAAATATATTTCGTCCGAATAGTGGTACTGTCCGAAAATTGGACAACATACTGTAGCATCTGAATTTGGCCACAGAGTAGATAAGACATACAGAGACGTAACTGACCGTTGTAAACACTGTGGAAGATTACGTTATCATGTACCCACTTTTTTTCAGGCGACCGGGCGAAAAATGACCAACTGCGCGTGCTCAGCAAGTTTAAAGTGAGTCGTCATCAGGTCGTCATCCAATCAGATGCATGCATCTAGTAACTTGCCGAGCATGCGCACAGAAAAAGTGGGTACACTAGTTACGTCTCTGTATGTCTCTACTCTGTGATTTGGCTTGTCAAGCAGTTTTCGCCAGTGAACTCTATATATATATATATCTGGAACGATAACATTCAGTCATTTGATTGCGAAAAAAATGAAGCCTCGATACCAGTCTTTCACGCGGATTGGACGTCAGTCTCAGTCCCTCAAACGTCAGGTTTACGCGGATTGGACGTCAGTTTCATTCCCCCTCTTGCAAACCGTTGCACGGCCAGTATAAATTTGAACGCAATCACGAAAAAAAAATTAAAAACATGGCCAACTCAATGCAATACATTGTAGGAGCAAACAGTTTTGCTCCTAAAATTTACTGCATTGAGTTCGCTGTCGGAAAAAAGTCGAGGAAAACTTCACCGTGTGGAGAAAAGAATCACTTTTTCAAATATATTGTGTCGTACTGTCGTTCTGGATGCACAAGGAAACTAGAGATATTCTTGCGAGAAAATTTCATTTCACAGGTAGGTAAATTGACTTGCAACTGTGACTTTGCCGTTGCCATTTTTCGCGATTGTTTGAATTGTTTTTTAGTTTACCAGTTTTATAGTTTTTAGTCAATAGTTGGTACGTTATTTTTTAAAGAATTTATTGTGTGATCGGAATTTGCCTGCCAGCAAAATGTAAATGAATATGTACGTGTGTTTGAATATAAATTAGACCATATGGGCTTAGTAAGAATTATTTTAATAAATACGTTTCGGAGTATAACTCCATCTTCAGGTTTATAAAAGTGAATAAAGATATAAAAACTGTGATAAAAACTTTCAAAACAATTACAAATTTTATATGTAAGTGATTTTTAATACTGTAAGAAAGTTCTTGAACAGTTGATGACGAAGACAATGACGAATACTTATGTCGTGATTTTTTTGTCGGCTTCACTTTTCGCTCGCTGTTATCGTTCCAGATATATATATATATAGAGAACAGCTGGGCATTTTGTACGGAGCATGCGCGAAAAAATCAATATGGCGACATATTTATAGGAGTGCTTCGTGGATTTATCTGGTTTTAAAGCTGATAAAACAACATTTCAATGAATAAAAACTTTGTAATATTTAGTGGAAAACATTAAGCTATGCAGTCCAAAGGTTTTAAATTAAAAATAAGTACTTTTGCTTTATTTTATTGCTTTTTATGCTTTCAAAATAGGCAAGCTCATTTTTTTTGAAAGAATCTAAACTAATATTTTACCCATCATTTGTTTAATCTGAACAGAAATTGATAGAACACTTGGCTACATAAGTTATAAAGGGAATTGGTAGCTGATCTGAAAGATTTCAGTATTCCTGGTACACATTTTAGCAAAGAATGACTGTAATTTCAAAAATTAAATATGCATATCAAAAACAATAGTTTTTATTAGAACAACACATAATAAGTTGTTATTTTCTATTTTTACAAAAACAAGCTTGGAAACAGAATCTAGTCATCCAGTTTGATGTCATATTCCATTTATTTGGATATTTGAATAAAGGAATGTGAAATAATAATTGAAACTTGTCCAAAATTTGATACCAACACTCAAGTGAACAGATACTATCACCTAAAAATAAAAGAAAACAGAACTTAATTTTGTCATATAATGCTATGAAAAAGTCTTAGATACTACAGGCATATAGTGAGCACAATGCTTTAACAAACTCACTAAAATAAGTTAAGTTATGCTATGATAAGAGGATGGCAATATATGACAACATCAAA